TTTTGTTTTGTTTTGTTTTTTACATTTTTATTGTGATTTGGGTGAAAGTTTACAGAGCAAATTCACTTTCCATACAGCAGCTTGCATACACTGTCTCATGACATTGACTGCTTCCATAAAGATTTACAGCCTTGGAAGCCCAAAGGGCGTTCTCTATGACTTGGAATTGACTCGATGGCAGTGAGGTGAGGATATCAGGTTTATTAAATAACCAGGCTGTGAAATATCTATCATTAGACAATGTCTACATCATGTGGAAGTCAGTGCAGCCCTAAGCCTCTCTAGTTTTCATCTTGACTTACAGTTACTAACGTTATCTCTAACATCACAACACAGGAGGTTTTGTATTTAACACAACTTTTCTTCACATACTATGAGTAAGCAAATGATGCTTGTTGTTTCTTGTTGTTAGGTACCATCAAGATGATTTAGACTCTTAGTGACCCCATGTGACAGACGAGAACTGCCCCAATAGGATTTCCTAGGTTGCAATCTTGAGGGAAACAGATAGCTGGGTCTTTCTCCCATGGAAGTACTCAGTGAATTCAAATCATCAACTTTTTTGGTTAGCAGCCAAGCACTTAACTGTTGCACCACCAACCAACACCAAACTTACTGCCACTGGGTTGATTCTGACTCATAATGATCATATAGGACAGAGCAGAACTGTCCCATAAGGTTTCCAGGGCTGTAAATCTTTATGGGAGCAGATTGCTTCATCTTTCTCCTGCAGAGCGTGGTAGGTTTGAACCCCTGACTTTCTGTTTATCAGTTGAGTGCTTTAACCACTGCCACCAGGACTTCTTGGTGCACAACCAGGGCTCCTTAAATAACGCTTAACAAGTAGAAAACATTTAGCTGGAAAACAGAGTATAACTTTAAAATTCTGATGAAGAGCTTTAGTAAATTTACAATACATGCACATTTCTTTAGTCTTGGTTGGTCTGATGATAGTCTGTAAGAGATTGGGATATCATCAACCTCTACTTGTAACCTAGGAGCAAAAGGAACTTAGAATATTTGTAAAACTGCCATCTTATTTCCTTCTCTTTTTCTATCTCTGTTTCTCAGTGTTCACTCAGTTTTCCATTCCTTTATTTTCCATGTCTGCTTTCTATCCTTATCTTCAACCTGTTTTCTCTTCGTTTCTTTTATTCATGATTTTTGTCTCCAGATTAGCCTCTCATTTCTTTATTGAAATAGAAATCACAGCAAGACAAAGAGAATCTCCGGATTTTTACAGGCAACAATAAAAGACAATGCAAGATGGGGGCATTAGTCTAAACTAATCCATATTGAAGAGTATGTTGTAACCCACAGTTCCCTGGAGACAACTGAGAATACATGCTACCAGACTTGTTAAAAATCCCTTGACTCGACATCCTTAACTCAAACTTTCCTTCAGTGGTATAATCATTAGTGGCCATCATTACTACTATGTACTAACCTATGGCATGTTAAAAGATTGCCCTCAACCATCTCCCTTTTAAAGCAGCCTTTTCTGATATCTCAGCAAGTCACACCAGGGAAGACTAAAGAAGCACTTCTACTCAACAGTAATTCCTAGAATCTGCTGAAGAATTATCTACTGCTAAGAATCTTGAATCTGAACACTGAATTCCCCAAGGTAGTTCCCATTGCCTCAACCTAAATAGCAGTTCAATTTTTTTTTTTTTTTCATTTTGCTTATGAGAATTTTCTTGTTTATTTTATTTACAATGTAGTAATTATATGTATTTTAAAAGGCAAGTAGAAAACAACAGAATTTTAACTGTTCTTGAAAGTGTCAGAAAACTTAAAATCAAGGTAAGAGTGAAACAGAATGTTTTGGTTACTTAGTGCCTCTCTGACAGGAATATACCACAAATGGGATGGCTTGAACAAACAAGAGTTTGTTCTTACGGTTTCTCTTACGGTTTGAGAGGCTAGAAGTCCGAGTTCAAGTGCCAGGTTCTAGGGGCTGTATGAAAGCCCCTCAGCCTTGGGCTTCAGCTCTGCATCCAGCTCCCGGCCCACTGAAGCTAGAGGCTTTTCTTCACTCAGACAGCTGCTGGCTGCTGGCTGCTGAGGCTGCCAAGCCCAAGGTTGACAAGCAAAAAGGCAGAGTCCCAGTGTAACCAAACCACATGGCAGGCCATTCATTCAAGTGCACTGAAAGTCCTAAAGTCGGCATGGGAATTTCAGTGGCATGGCAGGCTGCTGAGCAATGACACAGCTACATGCAGGGTTCAAGTGTTTCATAAGCTAGAGACCATTCCCCAAGGCTTCTCCTTATATACAGGAAGCAGACCACATCCCTAAGGCAGCTACTCAGCTAGACACTCTCGCAGTAGATTCCACCCTGGAGTTGATTACCAGTCTCATCATGGGGAATACTACATTCAGCTGCCCAGCCAAGTTGACACACAAACTTAACCACCACACAGAACTTAAAAATTTCTTAAAATACTGAACTTGAAAATTTCAGTAACATATTCAAAATCTATACATGTTATAACTTTGCAAATTAGATTTTTTTTTTTTTTACTATTTTATTTTTCAAAATTCTATGTATACCTTGAAAATATTCTCCTCAATGATAAGTGGGGGACTGTAGAAAAAAGATTGTTAAAATATAATTACAGATTTATTAAGTATCTGTAACTCCGTATTAACAAATGTGAAAATCTCACAGGGATAATTTTCTGTTCTTGATAAGAACCTGGACTGAATAAAAGAAAATCCATCTTTAAAAGACATTATTATGATAAATCAGGGAAATGTGAATATAGAGTATATATTTGATAAGAGTACAGGTAGCCCCTGACTTACAATGACTTTCCATTCCAACGACTCCATCGTAAATCAGTGCTAATGTAAGTTGAATAATTCTTTTTTGTTTTTATTATTATTGTCTTTTATTATCAGTATCTTTATATATCTAATCTTTGAACATCTGTAAATAAACATCTAAACATGATAATATCAGCTAATTACATACTGCAACACTGTATACAGTATATGTTAGTATAATGATAAAGTGTACAAAAAAATAGTCTAAGTGCAGTTCATAGTAACTCCAATATGTTGTAAGTCAGGGACTACCTAATATAATTATTATAGTTAAAATTTCTGGCTTATGAACATTGTATTGTGCTTGAAAGGAGAATGCTGTTGTTCTTAGGCACCACTATTGGTGCCTAGTTGGTGTTTACAACTAACTCAAAACCAATTGCCATTTAGTCAATTCCAACTAATGATGAAGATACGTATTTTCAGAGTAGAACTGCACTCTTTAGGGTTTTCAAAGGCTATGAACTTTCAGAAGCAGGTTTCCAGGTTTTTCTTCCAAGCTGCCTCTGTATGGACTGGAACCTCCAACCTTTCAGTTAGCAGCCAAATGTATTAACTGTTTGCATCACTCAGTAACTATGTTTGAGGATGGAGGCCACATTTTTTCACCCTTGTGGTTTTATCTACTAGGTTGCATATGGTTATTTTAGGTGCCAAATTAATGTATCCTTGAATGAAATTGATATATTTTTACATAAAATGTATTAGAATAACAGAAATTAAAATTGTTAAATTACTTCTCAGTCTTAACAGCATCTAATTTCACTTGATTTTAAATGACAAAAATGTTTTCTTTTCTTTTCTTTTTAAATTGTGATTTGGGTGAAAGTTTACAGAGAAAATTCACTTTCCACACAGCAGTTCATGTACATTTTGTCTCATGACATTGACTACAATTTACCACAATGCAATAGCTCCCCTCACACTTCCTCCCGATAATTACCTCTTCCCTGTGTCCATTCCTCAATGTACTCCTGCCCCCTGAGCTGTCTCCCTGTGCATAAACAGCCCTTCTTTCTCCCATGATTGCTCTCTCCAAGGAGTGTATCTACCTCAGGTAAATGTCCAACTCATATGCCTTTTGTTTGGCTGGAAGCCACAGGTGTGGGTTCAATTCCAGACCTAAAGGGCAGCTAACGGGCCACAGCCTCAGTGGTTCCACCAGACAAAAATGTTATTTTCAAATATAATTTGTAATCTATCAATATCATCCTAAAGTTACAAGTTTTTTTTAAAATTGTGATTTGGGTCAAAGTTTAACAGAACAAATTCATTTTCCATACAACAGTTCATACACATTGTTTCATGACATTGACTGCAATCCCCATAATGCAACAACTCTCTTCCCACTTCCTTCATGTGGCTACCTTTTCCATGTGTCCTCCTTTCCTTTCATTCCTGCTCTCTGAGCTATCTTCCTGTGCAAACACTGCCCTTCTGATCTTCCATGGTTGATTGTTCTAAGGAGTGTACCTACCTGGTGTAAATGTTCACTCCATATGCCTGTCTACTGCTTGGCTGCAAGCCATGGGAGTGTGTTCTATTCCAGGACCAAAGGGTGATCAATGGCCACAGTCTCGGGAGTTTTACCAGTCTCTATCAGACCTGTAAGCCTGGTCTTTTTATAATTTAGAGTTTTGTTTCACATTTCTCTCACTCTATTTAGGATCTCCTATTCTGATCCCTTTCTGAGTGGCTGACAGTGACAGGTGGGCACCATCTAGTTCTTCTGGTCTCGGAGTCATGTAAGCTCAGGTTAGTATGATCCACTGGTCTCTTGGACTAATTATTTTCATGAGTCTTTGGTTATCTTCATTCTTCTTTGCTCCAGATGAGGAGAGACCAATTGTTATATCTTAGATGGCTGCCTGTAGGCTTTTAAGATCCCAGTTGCTACTCATCAAAGTAATGTAGAACAATGTTTTTGTGTAGTTTGCTATGCCAATTGAGCTTGATGTCCCCTGCGACCATAGTCCCGAGCCTGTAGGCTCAGTGACTCATTTCCTCAGGGTGTTTGGCTGTGACTAAGTTGTTCTCATAACTGTGTCCTGTTAGCTCTATTATACATATGGACATTCTTGTAGCACATACAAATATGTATGTAGAAATAACGTCAAAAGCAGTTGAATTTTAACAGGCTCTTGTGAAAGCTCAAGTGAGAGACTTACCTGTTCCTGGGTCATCTTCTGCAGCTCATTCTCCCAAGCTGCCTGGTCATCGTCCAAGTTATAGGAAGCTGGTGGAGTGAGTCCACGGAGGATCAAGGGGTCTCGCTCATGACAGAGGGCTGTCAGGTGTCCAATATACAACTTTAATTTGCTTCTATTTTGGTCAAGTTCTAAGAGGGGCTGGATGATCTGAGGTGAAAAAAAATACATGCAAAGTTAAGGTCAATCTGAAAGGAGAAGTTTCTATATTCTTTATGTCTCCCAAGTTAAAGCAAATGGACCAAAGACTAAAGCTTTTCTAATCACTATAAAAATCTTCAGGATTAGAAAAATAAACAGTCCCACATACTGTTGCCCATTTACACTGTCACACCCAACCACCATTTTGGGAGGCAGGGAGAGAATGCTAGCTTAGTGTTAGTGTATCAATATGAGATGAGAATTCTGTATTTAGGCAGAAGATTAAGCATAGGACTAACTTGTTTTTACAGAGATGACATTCCTGATACAGAACAACTCCAGTTATCTCGCAATTCCTCTTTTCATTTATTTATGAGTCGGTTACAAAAAAAATGCTAATGAAAACTGCTCATCGGAAAGCCTAGACTACACATACTTCGTGTGTTCCTCCACCTCCTGGAATAGAAAAAAAATCTGTCTCTGGAGTAGGTGCATGTTTTTCTTGGCCAAGAGACGTGTTGAGTGAACTCATTACTAAACCTGCCTCATCCTGGCTTAAGCTCCCCTCATTCATTTCAGAGAGGTTTTCTGAGATTCTTTTGAAATGGTGATTGATAAATCCTTATGTAACACCAAACACCTGACTCACAGCCAAGGACTCTGAACTTCTCTCGGTTGTTACATTGGTTCTATGTTTTTCTTAAATAACAGACATGCTCCTATTTTTTTCCCTCTATTCCCTGGATGAATAACTATCACTTTGACTCCCTTTGGAAGGACACTTAATAATTGATGACTTCTGCCCCAGAATGTCATTTGACAGCTCTCATGACAATACTCTGGCCAAGTCTTTGGTAGTCAGTCAAAGCCTGGGGTGTTTTGCAGAGTTGGGCCAGATCTCACATCTCAGAAGACTAAAGTGTTAGAGCAGCATCTGCTTGATACACAGCAGCTGTGAGAGCTGCAAAGCCCTGCCAAAATGCTGACAATTCTCACAATGTTCCCAGGGCTGCCAGGCGGAGGTTTACACCTGTTGCATGTCACCAGGCTGGCATTTTTCATCAACAGGACACCTCCGACCCGGCTAATGAAGAAGGAGCTCAATAAGCTTCAAGTCAACAGAAACAAGGCCTTCCAACAGTGACATGGATTCCTCCCTGCCCCCCTCGAAGGACTGGTCCTGCTGTTTTCCTTGATTGCTTTTTAAGAATTTTTTTTTTAAATGAATACAGTTTGGTATATTTTTTCATAATGAGAGTGATACAAATTTTACTTTGGAAAATTTAGAAAGAAAAATAAAAGTATCAAGGAAATAATAATGTTGCCTGTAAGTTTCCATCAGGAAGTAACCATTTACAACATTTTGATGATTTTCTTCCAAGTCTTTTTATAAACTTAGATAAATCAACTTTGAACAGTATACCTCACATTTTGCTTGATAAATTACCTATTCATTTATTTAACATTATGTTGTGAGTACTGTTCATGACATCATTAAATGTTCCTAAAGAATATGGTTTTTAATGGCTACATAATAAACATACTGTATTTCCTTTGTTTCTAATACTGTTTTCATGAAATAATTACTGGAAAGAGATTGAAGAACCAGAGCTTAGTGTTAAAGCCACTTTTGGCATGCATGGAAACAATTAGTCCAAGGGACTGGTAGACTATGCGATCCTCAGCCTATATAACCATTAGACCAGAAGAACTAGATGATGCCTAGCTACCACTGTCAACCACTTGGAAGGGGATCAGTACAGGAGATCCTGGATAGAGTGGGAGAACAATGTGGAACAATTGTTTGGTTTGCTGGTCTGATAGAGCCTGGTGAGACCCCTGAGACTGTGACCTCTAGTTACCCTTCAGGTCTGAAACTGAACTCACTCCTGGGGCTTCTAGCCAAACAACAGATAGCATATGGGGTAAACATTTACATCAAGTAGACACACTCCCTGGAGAGAGCAATCATGGGAGAACAGAAGGGCAGTGTTTGCACAGGGAGACAGCTCAGGGAGTGGAAGTGCATGGGAGGGAAGGACACAGGGAAGAGGTAACTATGGGGAGGAAATGGGAAGAGAGCTGTTGCATTGTGGGGAATTGTAGTCAATGTCATGAAACAAAATGTGGATGACCTGCTGTATGGAAAATGAATTTGCTCTGTAAACTTTCATCTAAATCACAATAAAAATTAAAACAAACAAACAAAAACCAATCTTTGGCTAACTAAAGATACCAGAGTTCAGATTCTCCTCCAAGAGAAGAGAAAACAAGAAAGGTTAGAGAAAGGAAAGGGTTAGGTCTATATAATTTGATATAATAGGGAAGCTGGGGTCAGGTTAGACAAACCAGAGAAAGTGAATCAATTTAGTATTATTTTTACATTTCAAACACACATTACACTTCCATCAGGATAGAGGTTAAAGACTAAGGTGATGCTGTGGAAGGTTCATAAGCTCTATAAGAAACCTCTACCTAACATGCTCATGATACCAGTTTTCTTCAGGAATTTCCTACCTGTGATAGACATCTCAACACTGCCAATCACAGAGGAGAGACTGTTTCAATCAAGGACAGGATTTGGAGGGTGGGGAAATTAGTTTTTTGACACATCATTAACCTCTCAAAAAACTATTTAATTTCTAATCACAATATGTATTTATTGTAGACTATTTAGAAAGAATTCCAAACTGCAATCTCTCAAGGCATTAAAGGCAACAGTCCTTTAAATGCATGTACACTTTTCAATGACTAAACTGTCCAGCCACTGTTCTATCACTACACACCCCACGACTCCAGTTAGCCTTCTTTTTTTTAACTTTGGCCCCATCTTCTTTAATAGACACATTGGTACTAAAAAAAAAAAATCACTTTTGAGCTTTCCATTGGGTTTATGCAACTTATTCCTGTTCCTGTAGGTTTCCTGCCATCACAAAAATGTTCTATCTAGGCTGAAAGGCAGAAAGACCTGGTATCTTATGGAATATTGTTTTGCACTGGAAAAAAATGGCATAGAGAAGCATAATCACTGAGCAAGGAGACAATGGCAGCCACAGAAAGGTCAAATTCTTCACAACAAAATGGAGTTTAAAAGGAGACTGGCTCACTACTGTACAGCTAGCTAGGGGAGGAGTAAAATGGACTTTTTAGTTCCTTGTTCTTGATGAAAGATGAATTTCAAACTGACTTAGATGTATCTATTGGTAAAGTGTTAAATGACTGAAAAAATACTACAGAGTTTGTGTACTGTGAAACATTTCAAAGTCTAATTGAAAATTTTAAAAATAATGGAATTTGAATTTTTTTCCAGGATAAAAACTCACTGAATGTGCTGTCTAGGTGACTTGGCCTCTCTGAGACACATTAACTCTGTCAACCATGTGGGAAATGCCCTTATCTCTTCCTTTTCTCCCCTATCTATTTGAGCAGGCACTTAGAAAAGATATCACACCTCCCACAAAGTAAACGGCCACTGCCTAATCTCCAGCGAGAAGGAGAGACACTTGCCAAGTAGAAAGACAGTGTCTTACAGGATCTAAAAGTTATGTCTTCTGTTCACATATTACCTTAGTACATAGGCAAGGAGTTCTATCAAAACCCATCAGAAATGCGGTCGGGTCATATTGGTTCTATTGCTATGGAAGTCCTGTACTTGTCAAGATAACTCTGCTTATACTAAATAAACAGTTGATGCTTGACAACTCAGGGGTCAGGAGAGCTGCACCTTCGTGCAGGAGAAAATCCACATATAACTACTGACTCCCTGAAAACTTAACTACTAATAGCCTACTATTGATCAGAAGTCTTACAGATAACATAAGCAGTCCTGATCATAAATCCGACTGCATCTGCACAAAATAGTAGAGTTAGCCTATCACCTCCTGCCTTAAATCCTGGTGCTTCCTTCTCTTCCTTACTAAATGTCCTTTGTCACTTTTTTTTCTTACCCAAATAATACACTTCTGTCTGAATTAAAAACCTGTTCAGAGAAATATTCTTCTTCCTCAATGATTTTGTTAATGGCATCTGGGAACTTGTCTTTTATGGTAGTAAATGATAAAACACACTATCTATGTATTTTTTTATGCATTCATGACATATCTTTTTCTTAAGTTTTGTTTTTGTGACATTTCTAGGCTATGCAGTTTGTCTGAGTTTTTTCAAATTGTCACAAATCTCCAAAATATTTTCCAATATATTTATTGGAAAAAAAAATCCACATGTGAGTAGACCCATGCAGTTCAAATCCAGTTGTTTAAGGGTCAGTTGTAATGCTCAAATGTTAATAATCTCCTAAATCTACATTTAGTAAGTTATTAAGTATTGAGGGATGAGAGATATTTTGGTTAAGTACTGAGAGCTTTGTTTCTTCTTGTAAGGATTGATTTGCTTATTTATTAAATTATCAAATAAGTTTCAGAGACCAGCATTTGACAGCATATGGTGACAGAGGACTAGTGATCTTGCGAAGGTGTTTATTTTAACCTCATTTCCATTTAAACAGGAGCTCTGGTGGCGTAGTGCCTAAGGCATTTGACTGCTAACCACAAGGCTGGCAGTTCAAATCCACCAGCTACTTCTTGGAAAGAAGATTGGGCAATCTACTTCTGCAGAGCTACTGCCTCAGAAAACCAAGGAAGGGTTGCTGTGAGTTGAATCAACTCAATGGCAGTGAGGCTTCCCCCCCCCCCCCCCAATTTAAATAAGGTTAAATAGCTAAAGGTGTTTTGGAAGACAGAGATATCCCTATATTGCTTGATAGAAGTAGTAAGTGAAGATTAGCAATGTTCCATTTCTGCAACTGATATACCTAGGAGATCTGAAAGAGCTCTGGTGGTGTAGTGCCTAAGGCATTTGACTGCTAACCAGAAGGCCGGCGGTTCAAACCTACCAGCCACTCCTTGGAAGGAAGAATGGGTGATCTCCTTCTGTAGAGATACTGCCTCAGAAACCCAAGGAGGGGTCAACTATGAGTTATATTGACTCAGTGGCAGTGAGTGAGAGGAATC